ACACACAAGCAGGAAATCTCAGGAGTTTACTCTCTAATGGATTAAGAAAAAAAAAAGTACCCTTTGATGCAGCTCGCTGTCTCTGGAACAATGTGTGTTCATTTTAAATCATCAGGTGCCTTCAGGTGTAATCGGTCAAAACAGTATTTTTGACACATGCGGTGAGATTTCAAAATGTTTTGAGACGCCGTCTGGTTTTTAAGTAAGAGCGCTCAAACTGAAACAGAAGTGGGAGACAAATACTCTTCTTGTTGTTTTTCCAATCTTAACATCTGGTCCCTTCGTTTGCCACTTCTGTTATTTACACAGAAAAAAAAAAAAAAAACAGGAATACAAAAAAAGAAACGTCGGACAGATTTAAACAAAGTGCAGTTTCTATTGTTCTCCATTTGAAGGAAAAAGGTTCAAATTCTCCTCCCGGTCAGTTTCTTAAACAATACTCGGCCTGGCGGAACATTCATCGTCAGAGCCGGCGTAACCACGGAGACGTCCTCGTCCCTGGAGGCACGCGCCGCCGTTCGTCAGCCGCTACAGTGTAGGATTTAGTGTGTGGGAACGTCTCGACCTCCAGAGTCGACGACAGATAACGTGAAGCGTACTGATGCCATTTGAAGGCGGAATATTTACGCCTCGCGGTGCGATGGGTAACATACGGTGGCGGAATAGCGTGTGTGTGTGTAACAGACAGTTAGTAAGAACGTAGGATGAAGCTACATGTTCATCAGAGCGGTGAGTTACACTTACCGCTCGACGCCACTCGTGCTCCTAGACGACCGCGCCGATACGAGGATCTACTTCCTTTGCCGACGGGTTCTGAAATCAAGCGCGCGTATCTCAAAACACAAAGTTCGTCTCCCTCGTCAAACTGAAATCACATAATCCTCTTAGAGTCGCTCATGTCGTTGTTGAAGACGTGATTCTTGGACTTTTTTATCAACTGAACCACAAAATCGATGAATCAACAATGACGCTGAACGTGAGGATGGTGCCACAGCTTCCAATAAAACCTCCTGCGATTGGCCGTTTTGAGCGTCGTATCAACAGACCAGAAGACAATCTGAACCTTTTCCTCCTTATTTCTTATTTGTCTCCTCCTGCGTGGTCAAAAAAAACACAACAAGCAATAACGGATTAATGATCCCGAGTTCAAGCCAAAAGCATCTCTCCGCTGGTCCCTAGAAAAGAGTCGCACACGCCTCCAAAGATCAACCCGTTACAGAGTCAAACGTGTAGGAAGTTCAGGCGGTCTCAAACCGCACGTTCGGATCCGAGACGCTTCCTGCCGTGCGTCCCCTCCCCCACACTCCCACAAAAAAACAGTTCTTCTTCAGATTGGTTAAAAGTGGGAGGAGGAGACAGTGAAAAAAAACAAACAGAGCAGTCCTCTGTTTTCATTCCAGGAATATAATCCTCAAAAACAGCCGTGAGGAATCTGGATCCGTTAATAAATCCACGACGTGGTGCTTGGTCTCCTCAGGCAGCCGCGCTGATGCACAGTTTTTTTTTTTCAGGTGAGGAGGGCGGGGACAGAGAAAAAAAAAACAACCAAACCCAGTGTCCTCTGCTGATTTTGGGCTTCAGAGCACCTGAATGCATCAGTCAGTCCAGCAGTCTCTCCGCCCCCCCCCCGTTTAGTCCGGCATGTCGATGCAGAGTTTCGGGGGCGGGACGAAGTACTTCCCGGGACTCTGCGTGATCACCACGCCCGTCTTCTTGTGGAACATGGGCGCGATCTTCGGGGGAGGCTCGGGGACGGGCAGGTCCTCGGCCGCCTCGGGGTCCTCGCTGCGCTGGAGGTCGTAGGAGACGTTGCCGTACTCACGCAGGAATGGGAGGAGCTCCAACAGGAAGTGGCAGAAGTCTTTACGGATTCCAAACCACCCTGTGATGAAAACAACAGACGCCATTTTTACAATTGTTTTTAACTTGCAACCAAATATGAACCCCTGACCTTCTGGTTCAGAGACAACCGACTCTACCCACTGAGCCACAGCCGCCCTTTTTGCAGCCGTCTCAAAAGTCATCGTTCTGCAGACTCTAAATACTCACAGTGGTTTCCTCCCTTCTGGCCGAACGTCGTGGCCATGAGCGTGAGCAGAGAGAGCCAGAGCGGGACGAACACGCACACGTAGCTCAGGCTGTTGTGGCCGTCCAGCTTGTGCACCAGAAGGATCTACAGAGGACGGGAAGAGGTCGGTTAGAAACCGGAGCAGGAGGTTCAGCGAGTGTCACATGACGTAATCTTCATCGAGATGATCAAAGAGATAAATCAGCAGAATTAAAAGAAGTCTAAGAGTTCAAATCAAAGAGGAAGTGATTCATTTATTTTATTATTTTCATAAACTGAACATGCACCCATCAGGTTTTCATATTTCCCATGACGTCCTGGTTTAAAGTGACAGTACACATTTCCAGCCAGCAGAGGGCAGCGCGTGCACAGTTTGCTCTAGAACGATCTTTCCATCCAGTCAGAGAGGAGACCTCGGCAGGTGGAACAGACTTGGTATTAAAACAGTTTCTTATTCTTTGATTTTTGCCTCGTTACCTCGAAGGTGAGCAGGGGGACGACGATGGTCATCCAGCTGATCGCCATGGTGATGTGGGTTCGCCGTTGCTCCGCGATGATGTCGATGGAGCGGAGGAAGAGGACGGACCAGATGATGTAGTACAGGACGACGAGGCACAGGAAGGACATGAGGATCCAGAGCGGGACGCACACCACCTGTAGGACACACACACACACACACACACACACACACACACACACACACACACACACACACAGGTTAGGACCGTGTGAAAATACAATGAGTGGCAGATTTTTTAAGATATATTTTGTGTTCCTCACCAGCCAAGGCCAGTTGATGATCTTGTCCAGCCTCAGAGCGATGAAGATGAACTGAAGGATGTTGACTGAACACAAAACCTCGAGCTGAAGAGAAGACGAGAGGAGAGAGAGGTTCAGCACAGGAGTCAATATCGACGATTTCACACTAACCAAACCGGATCAAAAGCATGTTTAAATTTCAATATAGAGCAAGAAGGTTCCCGGTTTGAATCCCCCCGTTGGAGAGGGGACCTTCTTCAAACACAGAATCTGAACAGCTCTAAGTGTTCGGCCGTGGCGTGGCACTCTTAGTCTCTCTCTCTCTCTCTCCGCCGTCAAGACTCCTCACCTCGAGCGAGCGGTCGTGTCTGAACCCCCACACGCAGGCCGCCACGGAGACGGGCGACACGAAGAAGAGCGGCATGAAGACGAGCAGCCAGAAGTAGTTTCCCCTCGCCACGCGGTCGCACACCAACACCTCGAACATCAGCAGCAGGACGTGGAGCCCCACCGCGATCAGCATGGCCTTGAACTCCACGCACGTCTCGCCTTCAGCCCTGAGAGGAAAACACGGGACAGAAAGATCCTCAACGCCCACTTCTTCTTCTTCTTCTTCTCTTTGTTTTTTATATGTATGAGAAAGTCTTCCTGACCTGTACTGCGGGTTGTGCGCCCACACTCCCGTGCCCACAGACGCCCCGATGATGACCAGCAGCTTCCACAGCCATATCGGGGTGAACACGGCCCAGTAGCTCCACTGAATGACGCCATCCAGCCTCAGCGACAGCAGCACGGAGAACAGCAGCAGACAGGAGTAGATGAGGAACTTACTGCAACCAGAGAAGACAGAAAAGTTCAAAATCCACAAAAAACAACACGTCATCAAATGTTTTTTTAGTTTACATCACCATGACAACCTTTAACAACCACAGCTGGTGTGTTTTCTGACGCCACAGACGCGTGTTTTCGGTTGTATTCACTTTAACTGTTAAAAACTACAAAAGAGAGTACTTCCTGATACCGTGTGTCGTCATACATGTCTAAATGTTAGCCAGGCCGTGCAGAGCCAAAAAAAACACGTCGTTTCGTCGTGACTTCTGGACTTATGGTGACAATTTATGGTCACTGCCTCCTCAGCTGACATAAATAAGTGTGTAAACATATATTATAAGTGTAAATTAGGCTCGTTTTGGTGTGTTTCTCCGCGCTGCAGCGATGCTAATCCGGAGTTAGCTTCAGTGCTAGCTGTGTAGCATACGTTACCTGGGATTGAAATCCTGGAATAATCCTCTTAAATTCATGTTGTCAACCCGCTGGTTAGTTAAACAACATTAGTTAGCTAGTCCACTGCCTGAAAGTGTGAGCTTCACATGGTCATTTCAGCCGTGATTAAGTTTTTTATGGTTGTTTAGTTTCGTTACATCTCTCTCTGCTAGCCTCTCTGTGTTTTTGTTTTTTTTTCTTCTTCAGCGGAAGTGACGCACATGCGAATGTTTCCGGAAGTTGTTTGACTTTTTGTTTCCTTTCTGTGGTGATTTCGGTTGAAACTACGAAGCCCGGAAAGTCCCCAAAACTAAAGTCAAAACAAAGTCTAAGAAAAAAAGATAGATCATTTATAATAATATATGTTTTGTGGTATTCTGTTATGTTCAAGTTTACTTTTTCTTAAAATTTTATTTTATTTACCATTTTGTTTTGTACCTTTTGCACTATTTAGAATTTATTACTGTCAATATTATTTATCTTATTTTACCTTATTTTATTTGATCTTATTTTACCTTATTTTATTTTAGCTTATTTTAGCTCATTTTATCTTATTTTATTTATCTTATTTGACCTTATTTTATTTATCTTATTTATCTTCTTTTATTTTATCTATTTTACCTTATTTTATTTTATCTTATTTTACCTTATTTTATTTTATCTTATTTTACCTTATTTTATTTGATCTTATTTTACCTTATTTTATTTGATCTACTTTAACTTATTTTATTTTACCTTATTTTACCTTATTTTATTTGATCTTATTTTACCTTATTTTATTTTATCTTATTTTACCTTATTTTATTTGTACTGCACTGCGGGACGGAGACAAACGCAATTTCGATTCCACTGTATGTCTGGCATATTTTGAAATTGACAATAAAGTTGACTTTGACTTTGACTTTACTCTTTGTCGTCACTTAAACATAAACAAAAAATATATATTATTTTATCTGCTAACATGTCTCGGATAGGATACAAAAAAATGAAGCCAGAGTTAATCTATGTTTTTACATTTATTCAACTAAAAATAGCCAATAAATGGAGCTCTCTCGCCCTGGAAAAAAAGCACAATTATCGTATGTTTAGAAGAAAAAAAACATCCCTTAAACAAGTTTTATTCTTAATTACATGTGTTAGTCATGATATTGATATCTCTCCTTTTTGTGAATAGAAAATTACACTTCGTTTTTTAGGCAGATGTAACGTATCAATGTTCATCTTAAGCCCATTATAAAGCAAAACACACACACACACACAGGTTAGGACCGTTTTTGGGAATTTAGGAGTGAAAATACAATGAAAAACAATCTCTCCCTGCTAACACAAACATCCATTAACTGAATGCTGGATTACAGTTTAAACACAACAAATGTGACTGAACTTTCACTTGCTGTATGTTTATCTGAAAGGACTTTCACATTAGTCACATGTATAAGTCATCACTGTCTGTTTTTCCAGGTACTCTCTGAGATTTAATGAAGTTTCAGCACTGTGTCATGTGTTTTGAGAGGGTGCTTCCCCAATCCCCACAACAGATATTTCTGATTGTTTGATAAAACAAACAAGCTTTTATGAGTAGCCTACTTCCTGTTTGCTTTATTGTCTGCTGTGAAGCCCCTTGACCCCGCATTGAAAAGTGCTGTACAATAAAGTATTATCACTATAAAGTTTTATATTTCATGACATCATTTCAGAATGAGAAGTGAGTCATTGAGAGGATGTGACTAACTGGGAGTGTTGTTTACAGCCACACTTTATCTGAGAGCTGATAAGTTGATCATTCAAGCTGTGGGAGTAAACAGTGAACTTCAGAGTAATCGTGTGGAAATGTGTTTTAATTGACAGCTATTCATCGTACATTTACAATACAGACAATCTTCACTTCATGTGTCTGACTGAAAGGAAATGTCATTTAACATTTGAGAGAAAGTTTTCAATAAAGTGCAGCGACTCTTTCTGGAGATTTAAGGCGCTATGTGTGTAACATGGAAAAAAAGAATAAAAAACAGAGGATGACAGAAGAGTAAATCTTTCAACATCAACATAATCAATAAATAATACAGCTGTGATTTCTCTCCCTGCTAATACAAAACAACACAGTGCTTAAACTCAGAGAGGGAAACAGTGCAGAAGATTTAGAGTGCTGAACTCACACGAGGTAACGAGGTAGGAAAAGTGTTCTACACTAAACAAAACACACAGAATACAGCATCAAATCACACAAACAATATAAACTTAGTGTGTTAGCACGAGCTAGGCGCTCCGCTCACGGCTCTGAGACAGATGTTGAAAAGTAAACAACTCAAAGTAAACAAAGCCTCTACCTTCACATTCAGCCTCAGCAGGTACTCTGAGGTGTAACAAGTCCTATCAGTAATCAGTTTTCTTTTTCTTTTTTTCACACTTATTATTATTTAAGTTTTTACACTGTAAAAAACTGTTTGGTCAAAATCAGTTGTTTTAAATGTGTTTTATAAATAAAGTTGACCTGACTTGATATAAACACATTTAAACAGATTTTCTTCCACTTGAGACTGGCGGCGTTCCAGGACCGTTTCAAATCTCAAAAGCCGTCTCCGTGCGGTGAATGGCTCTACACTGAAGGAACCTCTGTGACCTGGAAGGAGAAAAAAGATTAAATTAGTCAAATACAAAGTCCACTGTCTCTTTAAAGATACATCTATATTTACATCAAGAGAGAGAAATTGTGTTTTTTTTCAGCTCATAGCATTTAGAAAATGTTGACTCACGTCTCGTTTTTGACACCTCTCTGCCAGAGATCCTTTGACTCCGACTCCCATGAGCATCATCAGCAAGGCGATGAAAACCCCGGCTGTGATCACTCGACTCCTGGAGGAAGCGCCTGCACCTGAACCAACAAACAGAAGTGATAAATGCTACAGTTCCAACAAGCATGTTTCACCCCTAAAGTCCAGTCCATTCAACTAGTGAGAGTGCTCCGTTCTGTGCTCAAGCACCGAACGCTTCCTCGGTCCTGGCGCGGAAAATTTGCTTACAAAAAAACGTCTCCTCCGTACCTAAACTCTCTGATCCAGGTCTACACTCCCTCCCCGCCCCTCTACACTCTGCCAGTGAAAGGCGCCTGAAGTCTCTAACTAGACTCTTCTCCTCTGTCGCCCCCCGGTGGTGGAACGAACTACCAAACTCCATTCGAGTTCCTTTGCACCTTTAAGAAAAAGCTAAAGACCCAGCTCTTTTTTTAAGATTTATTTTTGGGCATTTTGTGCCTTTATTGGAGAGATAGAACAGTGGATAGAGTTGGAAATCAGGAGAGAGAGAGAGAGAGAGAGAGAGAGAGAGAGAGAGAGAAAGAGAGAGAGAGAGAGAGTTGGGAATGACATGCGAGAAAGGAGACACAGGTCGGATTTCCAAATAATTCCCATAAATTCAGATTTGGAATATTTCCAGTTTAAATATTTTTCTATTGAGGTAGCAATTATAAAACATTCAATATTACAGATATTACAAGTCAATAGGTTTAGTGAGTAACACTAAGTGAACAACAACAACAATGGAATATTTCCAAAATTCCTCCAGCTAAACTTCCCTTGGAAAGTTTCCAGAAATTGACTTAGTGATGACATGACATTGAGGATGTTTTTGATGCTGATTATAGCGACTCATCAAACTTTGCATGTCTCACCTCTGACGTTTGTGTCCCCGTGTAGATCAGGAGTGTGGAGGGGTTACGGAGAGCAGCGGCGTCTCTGTAGTTTGTAATGAGGGGGGCTCTGTTGGAAACAATTGTACAAACAGATGTTTAAAGACACAGCAGTAGTTTGTTTTTGGGGCAACTGCAACAAAAATGTGTATGAGAAACGCTTCTTTCATTTGACGCTCACCAACAACGAGATGAATAATCGAAGACCGCACTCTGCTCTTCGATAACTTGGGGATGAAACATCGATACCTCCCTCCGTCCTCCAACGAGACGTTCATCATTCTCAGCGATATGTTCCCTCGTCTGAGGTCGTCCGGGAGCAGCTCCGTCCTCCTCGCGTACGACGGGATCTTCATGTCCAGGACCTCGTGCCGGTCCCGGTACAGGTGCACGTACCCGACGTCGCCCAGCCGGTCGTCGGGGTCGGGCTGGAGGTCCGGCTTGGACCACTCCACGGTCAGTCGGACCACGTCGACCGGAGGCTCCACGTGACACGGCAGGATGACGTCGTCGCCCGGAGAAGCTCTGATTGGCTGCGTGGACCCGATCACTCGAGGTTGACCTGAAAAATCACAGAAACGTTTTTTTTATCTTCCTGGTTCTCTTCTTCTTCTTCTTCTTCTTCTTCTTCTTCTTCTTCTTCTTCTTCTTCTTCTAAATACATCAAAGAAGTTACAGATTTGAAACACCGTTGACGCTGCAGCTGAAGCATGGGTGGAAAGTTTTCTTCATAAATGACAAAGACTGAAACCAAACTGTTCAGTGTTCTGGTTTAAATGTAGTGCTGCTGATTCACAACATCAGAAGTAGAAGTCTGTCGCCTCAGACAAAATTAACCAGGAGACACATCACCAGACACTTTTAACCCAGACTCTGCTGACACACATGGGGTAAATTATCACGTGATGTTGGTGCACACATTAACCCTAACCCACAGGATTAAAACAGATAACAGACTGTGACTCAGCTGATTTATTGCAACAACCAAAAAAAACAGATGAAGAAAGAGAAGCAGCTTTCATGTGATTTTGAACATGATCAATATTCTTCTGGTACTTTAGCTTCTTCTGTTTTGTGCTCTTTAGTGAATTCTCTGTGTCGTTATGTTTTACCCGTCTGTGAGACTAACCATCATTCTCAGATGATTTCCGGATAAAATTATAGTTTTTAATTTTTAGTTTTAAACAATCAGAACATCCGGCACTAAATGTCTAGAGAGTTGAACATAAAAATAACTATAAAATGCTGTTTAACATAAATGTGTTTATATGTTTCCCACATGTTTCCTAAAGTGGGACAAAGGAAATTTTATTTAAAATGACATATAAAAACATCCAGATAAAAAATAAAAGTAGGATTGTTTTATTTATAAGAAATGTATATCCTTAACATTAAGTTTGTCTAAACAGTATGTCCCTGAGCTTTGGGTGGTCTTCATGCTGTGTACTTCATATTTGAAGCTTGTATCATTCTAATCTGTGATTGGACATTTGAGAATGTTATTTCGATCACATGACGTCACAACT